GGGGAGGGGCACGGGGATGGGATTTGGGTTTAGGGAATAGGGGAGGGGCACAGGAAGGGGTTTGGATTTCGGGAATTTAGGCACAGGGATAGGTTTGGGAATAGGGACAGGGATGGGTTTGGGGGCAGGGGAGGGGCATGGGGATGGGTTTGGGAACAGGGACAGGGTTGGGTTTGGGTCTGGGAATAGGGGAAGGGCATGGGGACAGGTTTGGGAACAGGGACAGGCACAAGGGTGGCTGTAGGATTTGGGGAATAGGGACAGGGATGGGTTTGGGAGCAGAGGAGGGCCACAGGGATGGGTTTGGAAACAGGTGAGGGACACAGGGCTGGCTGCTCCCTTTCCCTGGGTGCTCAGCACTGGGAAAAACTCCCCAAGGAATTCTCACAACCCCAAAGGGCCATGAGAGTTTTCCAGGATGCACTGGGGTTGATTTTGGGATTATCCTGTGCAGGGCCTGGGGCTGGATCACCAATCCCTGTGGTGATCACAGGGATTCCCTGAGCGAGTCAGGGCGATGTTCCCATTTGAACATTCCCTTTAAACGATAGAAATTCCCATTTGGAATTTGCCCTTTAAACCTCTCCACTTCAAAAACAGCATGAAAGGTATCACCCCTCCCTGCTTTTCCCTGATCCACGATTTTCCCCGTGCCACAGGACCCCCTGGAAGAAGTGCTGCTTCTCGGGGGACGGCGAGTACATCGTGGCGGGCTCGGCGCGGCAGCACGCGCTCTACATCTGGGAGAAGAGCATCGGCAACCTGGTGAAAATCCTGCACGGCACYCGCGGGGAGCTGCTCCTGGATGTGGCAGTAAGGAAATTCCCACCCTTCTCATTCCTTAGGGAATTCCTCCTCGTTGTCTTTTTGATGATTCCGTGTGCTAATTAAGGTTTTTTTTGGCTTCGTTTTTTAATTAATCCCAGTGGCATCCTGTGCGACCCATCATTGCCTCCATTTCCAGCGGGGTGGTTTCCATCTGGGCTCAGAACCAAGTGGTGAGTGATGGCTTTGGGTCATTCCCTYGGGTTTTCTGGAGGATTTTGGGCTGCCTGGAAGTGCATTCCACACTTTTTTCAAAGTTTTTGCATTCCCCATATAAAACACGATATTTCTTATATGAAACGTAACATTCCCATGTAAAACATGATATTTCTTATATAAAACATATATAAAATGTAACATTCCCCATATAAAACAGGATATTCCTTACATAAAGCACAACATTCCCTTTGTAAAACACGATATTCCCATTATAAAATACATTTCTTATAAAGGGAATGCCATATTTTATACAAACACTGACATTCCCCATATAAAATATGATATTCCCTATATAAAACACAACATTCCCTATATAAAACACATATAAAATGTAACATTCCCCATATAAAACATGATACTCCTTATATAAAACACAACATTCCCTGTGTAAAACATGATATTCCCATTATAAAATACTTTTCTTATATAAAATATGGCATTCCCTGTATAAATGCTGGCGTTGTCTCCATAAAATATGATATTCCTTATATAAAACACAACATTCCCTGTATAAAACACATTTGCTACATAAAAAATTACACTCACTATATAAAACATGCAATTCCCTATATAAAACATAAAATTCCCTATATAAAATATTATATTTGCTTTATAATACACAACATTCTCTATATAAAACACAACATTCCCTATGTAAAATATATCCTATATAAAAAACATAGCATTTCCTGTATAAAATACAACATTCCCTTTATAAAATACGACATTCCCCATATAAAATATTATATTCCCTATATAAAACACAACATTCCCTATATAAAACAGGTATAAAATGTAACATTCCCCATATAAAACAGGATATTCCTTATATAAAGCACGACATTCCCTGTGTAAAACATGATATTCCCATTATAAAATACATTTTTTATATAAAATATGGCATTCCCTATATAAACGCTGACATTCCCCATATAAAATATGATGTTTCCTATATAAAACACAACATTCTCTGTTTAAAACACATTTCCTATATAAAGTGTAACATTCCCCATATAAAACATGATATTCCATATATAGAACACAACATTCCCTATATGAAACATATTTCCTAAATAAAGTGTAACATTCCCCATAAAAAACAGGATATCCCTTATATAAAACACAACATTCCCTATATAAAATATTATATTCGCTTTATAAAACACAACATTCTCTATATAAAACACATTTCCTACATAAAAAATTACATTCACTATATAAAACATGCAATTCCCTGTATAAAACATAAAATTCCCTATATAAAATATTATATTTGCTTTATAATACACAACATTCTCTATATAAAACACAACACTCACTATGTAAAACATATCCTATATAAAACTTAACATTTTCTATATAAAATACAACATTCCCTATATAAAACACGATATTTTCTATATAAAACACAACATTCCCTATATAAAACACGTTTCCTACATTAAAAAATACATTCACTATATAAAACATGCAATTCCCTGTATAAAACATAAAATTCCCTATACAAAATATTATATTTGCTTTATAATACACAACATTTTCTATATAAAACACAACATTCCCTATGTAAAACATATCCTATATAAAATATGATCTTCCCTATATAAAACACAACATTCCCTATATAAAACACGATATTCCCTATATAAAACACGATATTCCCCATATAAAAGGTATTTGGTCATGTTGGAATTGAAGGTATCCCAGGAATTCTCCTCCCAGCCACTGTTTGTGCAAATTAAAATCGTTTTTCGGGGTTTTTTTTAGGAAAACTGGAGCGCCTTCGCCCCAGATTTCAAGGAACTGGATGAAAACGTGGAATACGAGGAGAGGGAGTCGGAATTTGACATCGAGGACGAGGATAAGAGCGAGCCYGAGCAGACAGGTATGGCCCAAAATTCCCAGGGAATACCCAGAGATCCCAAAAATCCTCGGGATCTGCAGCAGCACAGCCCGGCCGCTTGGTGGTGCCCAAAAACTGCGGAAAAAAAGACTTGGAATATGAAAAAACTTTGGTTAAAGCGTGGAAATGAGGATTATTCCCAGCTCCCTTCATTTAATTCTTCCTATTAAAGTGCTTCCTGCCATTTAATTAATTGGATTTTTAGGAATTTTGGCAATTTTTGTATTCACTGTAATGTCAGTTTAGGGGAATCAAATGTTAAAATTAATTTCAGCAGATTGAGAACCGAACAAACTAACATATTAGTAAAAAACCAAAGTATTTTGGAGGTTTGAAGTTCCCTTCCTTAATTCCTGTGGCTTTTAGCAATAGCTCTGTATGAGACCATGGAAAAATGAAATAAAAACCTAATGGGTGAAAAAGAAATGATTTTAGGGTTTTAGCTGCTTTAATAGGAAATATTTTAGGGTTTTTTTTTTTTGCTTTAATATGAAATATTTCAGGTTATTTTTTTTCTTTAATAGGAAATATTTTAGGTTATTTTTGGCTTTAGTTTAATAGGGAACATTTTGGCTTTCCTGCCCCAGCCCTAAAACCCTAAAGCACAGCCAGCCCCACTYTTCCCAATCCCTTTCCTCTCATTTTTCCCACCTTTAATTCCCATTTTTCCTGGGATTTCAGGTGCTGATGCTGCTGAGGATGAGGAGGTGGACGTGACCAGTGTGGATCCCATCGCTGCCTTCTGCAGCAGGTGCCAGAACCCTTTAATTAACATTAATTAACACCTCATTCATGATCCCTTTAGAAAATTCTTTWTAAAAGCAGAACRTTGCTTTTATAAAACACATYATTCCCGTTATAAAAYACACCATYTCCTATGTAAAACATARCATTCCCTATATAAAACAGAATATTCCTTATATAAAGCACATAATTTTCTTTATAAAATATAACATTCCCTATATAAAACATTCCCTTTCTGAAACACAACGTTCCCTGTCTGAAATGTAACATTCCTTATAAAAAACATGATATTCCTTATATAAAATGTAACATTTCCCATATAACATTTCCTTTATAAAACACGACATTCCCTATATAAAACATGGTATTGCCTATATAAAACATTATATTCCATATATAAAACACATTCTGTCTATAAAATATATTTCTTGTATAAAACATTGCCTTTATAAAACACAATTATTTCCTACATAAAACTTGACATTCCCTATATAAAACACGATATTTCCTATATAAAACATTCCCTACATAAAACAGAACATTCCCTATATAAATCTTGATATTCCCTATATAAAATGGAACATTCCCTAAGTAAAACATAACATTCCCTATGTAGAACACTCCCTATATAAAACACAACATTCCCTGTATAAAACATTATTCCCTATATAAAATGCAGCAATTCCTATATAAAACACAATATAATTTTCCCTATATAAAACACCACAATCCCTATCTAAACCCCAACATTCCCTATATAAAACATCACATTCCCTATATAAACCCTGACATTCCCTATATAAAACATGATACTCCCTATATAAAATGGAAAATTCCCTAAGCAAAACATGATATTCCCTGTACAAAACAGCACATTCTCTATATAAACCCCAACATTCCCTATAAAAAACCCCGACATTCCCTATAAAAAACCCCGACATTCCCTATCCAAACCCCAACATTCCCTATCCAAACCCCAACATTCCCTATCCAAACCCTGACATTCCCTGTAAAAACCCCATCATTCCCTATCTAAACCCCGACATTCCCTATATAAGCCCTGACATTCCCTATCCAAACTCCAACATTCCCTATCCAAACCCCATCATTCCCTATCTAAACCCCAGAATTCCCTATCCAAACCCTGACATTCCCTATATAAACCCCAACATTCCCTATCCAAACCCCAACATTCCCTATCCAAACCCTGACATTCCCTATTCAAACCCCAACATTCCCTATCCAAACCCCAACATTCCCTATTCAAACCCTGACATTCCCTATCCAAACCCCAACATTTCCTATCTAAACCCCAGAATTCCCTATCCAAACCCCAACATTCGCTATCCAAACCCCGACATTCCTTATCCAAACCCCAACATTTCCTATCCAAACCCCACATTCCCTATCCAAACCCCAACATTCCTTATCTAAACCCCAACATTCCCTATCCAAACCCAACATTCCCTATCCAAACCCCGATATTCCCTATCCAAACACTCTCTAACCCCATTAATAACCCAACCCTGATGTTTTCCCCGCAGCGATGAGGAGCTGGAGGATTCCAAGGCCCTGCTGTACCTGCCCATCGCCCCGGAGGTGGAGGATCCCGAGGAGAATCCCTATGGTCCCCCTCCGGATGCGGTGCCCAGCTCGCTGACGGATGAGGGGCTGGGCTCCGACAAAAAGAGGCAGAGCTCCTCTGACGGGCCCCAGCCCCCCAAGAAAAAACCCAAAACCACCAACATCGAGCTCCAGGGAGTTCCTAATGACGGTGGGTGGGAGATTCCCTGGATTTGGGGTC